AAGACTAGGCATCAATTATCTGAAAGCATTGCATTTAAAATTTCCCACATGTGTGATAATAACCCTAATGAAAGCAAGTTTCATTTACTATCTGGGATAAATATTCTAATGGAAATACCGTAATGAATAAGAATTTTGTAGTGAATGCTGGAAGTGATGAATGATAATGGAGCTTTCAACTGTAATCCTTTTTTAAACATTAATAAACTACACAAGGATATTGTTCTAAAAAAATAGTGTTTTCTTTAGGAATTTACTCAATAGTATTCTAAGTTGAATGCTATGGAAAGCTTACAGGTTTTTAAAAATTCAAGCATCATCCAAGGTTTTGAGATTTTGTACGTGGTTGATGGTATATTGGTTTGCAATAATAATAGGATCTGAACAGAAAAAGCAGATGATTGTTTACGCTTCATGGGATGCACTAGATTGGAACCCGTTCCATGAAATACTGTTGGTGAGCATTATCAAGACAGGATTGAGCTGTGTGTTTGGTCGGCCCATATAACTATGATCTGTTTTTTAGGTTATACCATTTAGACCAAAAAAAGAAAGTCCTATGTTGTTGTTGTGTACCATCAAGTCAGAACCGACCCATAGCTGACCCTCCAGCAGGTTTTAGAGACAGTTAATCACACGGAAGGAGACTGCCCTCTTTCTCCTGTAGAACAGCTAGTGGATTTGAACTGTGCGCCTTTGGAATTGCACCATTGTTTCTTACTACTGGGCCACCATAACTCTGTAATGTAAATTGTTATTTTTGTTGTGCACCATTGAGTTGGAACTGACCCATAGTAGACCCTCCATCAGGTTTTCAGAGGCAGTTCATGGCACTGGAAGAGATTGTCCAGCCTTCTCCCAAGGGGCAGCTGGTAAGTTTGAACCATGTGGATTTGAACCAGCGCAGTGTTTTGCCAGTGGCTTACCAAAGCTCCCTAATGTGTAAGGACAGAAAAGGGCAAATTTAGAAATGCATGGCTAAGGCTTCTTTTTATGATCCTTTTGTGAAGGATGGTAGAAATTTATTTATACAGCATTGGGAAATAGTTGAATTAACCTTGCTTATGCTTTGAAACATAGTTGTGAAAATGAGATAGTTTCATTTCATTTTCTCAGTTAGCATTGTTTTAAATCCTCACTTAGCAACATATACAAAATAAATTGTTAATCTTACCTATTAATGTGTTTATAATATCTTGCCTCTTCAGCTGTTATTTATTCTTCTTCTCTGAAGTAGATGCTGGTTGATTCCTAGACTTCATCAAAGGCAGTAATACACAATATAGTTATGCATAGATTAAGTGGTGAAAATTATAAAATCAAATATGTTTAGCAGGATTGTCACCAAGGTGTTTACTAAAATCTGCTTAAAGTTCATTCATCACTTTAAAAATGCTACATTTTTAATTTGAATATATTTTTATTTAAGGAAAATACCATGCTACTAAAAGACCTGATATTTTTCTATAACTTCTATGTAGTTTTTCTCCTTTTATTTGTTTTCACTGGTTATGTATGCCCAACATTCCTAAAACTTTATACCTCATTTATAATGGCAGCTATTTTCCAATGCAATGAGATCTATTTAGTGTGGAGAGAGAGAGAGCGAGCGAGAGCTAGCGCGAGCGCGGTTGGCCTAGTGAACAGAAAGTCATGCTTCCAAGCCAAAGGTGGGCAACTTTAACCTGTGGCCCTCAGGTCTGCCTTTGCTTGTTTTTTGTGAAACATACTTCTAGGTTGTATAACCCTAGTATGTCCACTTTCTGTACAGAGGAAACTTGTGGTTGCTGTGAAGCTGAACACTATGACAGTGATGTGTCAAATGTGATAACGGTTACGCATGGTAGACAGTGTTTGGTGGAGCTCCTCGATTCAAACAAGCTTGGAATCAATATCCACTTCCATAATAGCTTGCCACAGGAAAACCTATGAACCTGGAGAAAGAACGAAAGTTATACAGGTGTCCAGGTCTTTGGTTCATAGGGTCACTAGGAGTCGCCTCCTACTCGACAGCACTTAACAACAACAACAACATCTTTTGTTAACAAAATTGGGGTTTTTACTAACAATCAAAAGCATTGAAAAGTAAAGCAACAGAAATGGGGTTAGACAAGCTGACCGCTCAGGTCTCTATCAACCCTGAAATGGAATATTTATGAGATGTTTTGCTAACATAACATTGTAAATCTCTATCAGCCCAGCATGAATGCAATTTTTATTTTGCAATAATTATCTTTGAAACATAACCTTCACAAAAAGTATTTTATATGTTTTATGCTAAAGACCATTAAGGTTTAAAATCAATACTTTAGCCATTCAGTGGCATATTTAATATTTTCTGAACATTTTTCAGAGAAGCCACTCTGTGCCTTGAATTTTCCCCATTTTTCCCTTTCTCAATGGAGTACTATAAGTAAATAAAACCACCTTTCTGAATCATTCAAACCTCATGGGAAATTAGGAGGGTTATGATAGATTTCTTTTGTGGTGAGCAGACAGGATAGGTCTTTTATAGTCTTGAGAGTCCTGTGACACATGAAATGGCATCTTCTTTCTCAAGGGAGAATGTTTGTATTTAAAGATGCATGGTTTCTCTCTTCTGCTTTGAAGAGATTAGACGGATATTTATAAGTATTGAGTGCAGAAACTATAAGCCTCTGCCCTCAGCCATTCAACCATTCACCCAATAAGAAAGGGGAGAAGTGCCGTAAGAAATAGACCTATTCATGAGAACAAGCTCAGTCAATGGTTCCAGAAGAGAGATGACACCAGGCGGGAGAAGCGATATTGACCATCCTGCACCCTTTTGAACTGTTCTTGAGTACATGGTAATTGACACAGGCTATCGTTTCTTTCCTTTGTAACTTTTTAATGTGATTTGAGTGAAAGTTTACAGAACAAATTGATTTTTTCATTCAACAGTTTATACTGACTTTGTTTCAGGATGTAAGATAGTATTCCCCACAATGCAGCAGCACCTATCCATTTCTCCCATTTATTTAACACGTGTGGAGATTGAGGTTTGTGAGCTCCATCAGTTCTTGGGAGTAACTGTTTTCATATGTCTTTGCCTTTCTTCAGTCGTAGTCCAGATGGAGAAACCAAAGTTGCATCTTTGATGTTTGTGCATAAGCTTTTAAGAGTCTATTTGCATTGAAATAAAGGATATTATTCCTACAAAAAAAAAGTCTATTTGCTACTCACCAATGTAGGATTTATACCATTTTCTTTGTGAACAGTGCTATGCCACCTGACTTCAATGCACCCACAAGACTGTGCTCTTGAGCCCACAGGTGGTCCCTTTCAATGCCTGTGTTATTCTTAGAAAAACAGAAGATCAGCAGAGGAGAGAAAGCCCCTCAAGGAGATGGATTGACACAGTGTCTGTAGCAATGGGCTTAAATATATCAGACATGATGAAGTTGGGGCAGGACAGGGTAGGACTCAGATCCACCATTCACAGGCTCACTATGGGTCACTGCCATCTCAATGGCATCTAACAACAATCAGAATAAGACAAAGATTCAAACCAAATCGTCAGCAGTTGTCACTACACCTTTCTAAAGGGAGGAGATGAAACATTCTCTCTATAAAGATTTACAGCCTTGTCAACCCTATTGGGCAGTTGTACTCTTCCTTAGAGGGTCACTGTGACCTGGGAATGACCTGATGAGAATGCACCCTCTCCCTTTCTACATCTTTCAGGATGCCACTGAGCTCTGGTAGTGTAGTGTAAAGGGAGAGGCACTGTTAACTCCAAAGTGGTGCCTCTCTGGCAGTTTGAACGCATCACCAGCTCTGTGGGAGAAAGATGAGCTATCTTTTCTTGTGTGACTTACAGCCTTGAAAATCTACTGGAGGGTTAGTTTTGACTTGAAAGCAATTGTTTTGAGTTTTGTTAGAACCGTATAAGATAGAACAAGGTTTTGGATCTGTTCAGAAGATCACTCCTCGATGACAACTAATGGCTACAACAATGGACATATTAATATTAATGGTGGTATTCTGTCGCTTAACTCAAATGAGTGATTTGTGAATCTTGGGTCCCGAGGTAGATAAGGCACCCTAGGTGATGGGCAGTTGCTTCACATGTGCCAATTGGTTGCTTTAAACCCGCTATCAGAGTGTGTTTGAAACCGGAGAACAGTTCCATGAGGCTATTCTGTCTTTTCAGGTTTTGGAAATCAAAGACAAAGGAGAAAGAAAGAAAGAAGTCCCTGGGCTAAAGTGTTAGTACAGCGATGTCTATGAACACATCATTTAAGAAGAGTCAGAGCTTAGATAACTCATCTTACCATTTCCTTTCAAAAATGATACAATTTGATTTGAGTTTCCTTAGGTGGAAAGATAATACTTTTTATGACTGTGATTAAACTACATGTAACAAGTCAGTTCAAAGGCATCACCAGGCCATTGGTGAGGCTCCATATTCTGCAAACACTGTGTCCCACACGCTCTGCTCCTTTTCCAACTCCTCCCACGAGCATTAGCTGAAACTGTATCCTTTACGCAGGTACACTCCTCCCCTCTTACACCCTCTAAGCACTCCTAAGCTTTGGTCTCTATACTTAGATTTCCTTCAAATAAGTGATTGCTTCTCCTCTGATATATGATTAGATCCTAATGCAGTGTCTCCGGGTTTCTGGCATTTATATCTATAATTACCTCTAAAGCATATTTCCATAGGGCATATTTTTTTTCTTTTGGAGTTTTGAAACTGTTTCGGGTGATAAATCTTCCTCCAGACGTCAGAGTGGTCAGCACTGAGGAGGTAAATGGAAACTAATGACACTTGTCAGGTTGATGACGTGAGTGATTTATGGCACCCAATCACTTACCACTTTCATAAAGCCAATATCGGGCAGAGGCATGGGGCTCTGACGATGGTAAACTCTATTTGTACTGCTTGCTCCCGGTGATTTATGACGCACCTGTGGCTGGGATTAGGCTGTTATAAATGGGGGGAGATCCGAAGGCTCATTAATTGTTTCTCCCCACAGGTGGAGAGCATGCAGTGGGCGAACAGGGAGCTCGCTCCCCCGGCTTCTGTCTGCAGCTTGCCTTGCAAGCCCGGGGAGAGGAAGAAGAAGGTGAAGGGGGTGCCCTGCTGTTGGCACTGCGAGCGCTGCGAGGGTTACAACTACCAGGTGGACGAGCTCTCCTGCGAACTCTGCCCTCTGGACCAGAGGCCCAACGTCAACCGCACGGGCTGCCAGCTCATCCCCATCATCAAGCTGGAGTGGCATTCTCCCTGGGCGGTGGTGCCCGTGTTCATCGCCATCCTGGGCATCATCGCCACCACCTTCGTGATTGTCACCTTCGTGCGCTACAACGACACGCCGATCGTGAGGGCTTCAGGCCGGGAGCTCAGCTACGTGCTCCTCACCGGCATCTTTCTCTGCTACTCCATCACCTTTCTGATGATCGCAGCCCCGGACACCGTCATCTGCTCCTTCCGGAGGATCTTCCTGGGCCTGGGCATGTGCTTCAGCTACGCGGCCCTGCTCACCAAGACCAACCGCATCCACCGCATCTTCGAGCAGGGCAAGAAGTCCGTCACGGCCCCCAAGTTCATCAGCCCAGCGTCGCAGCTGGTCATCACCTTCAGCCTCATCTCCATCCAGCTCCTCGGGGTGTTTGTGTGGTTCGTGGTGGACCCGCCCCACATCATCATAGACTACGGGGAGCAGCGGACCCTGGACCCCGAGAACGCCAGGGGAGTGCTCAAGTGTGACATCTCGGACCTCTCACTCATTTGCTCCCTCGGATACAGTATCCTCTTGATGGTGACTTGTACTGTTTACGCCATCAAGACACGAGGCGTCCCAGAGACTTTCAACGAGGCCAAGCCCATCGGGTTCACCATGTACACCACCTGCATCGTCTGGCTGGCCTTTATTCCCATCTTTTTCGGCACAGCCCAGTCCGCAGAGAAGGTAAGTGGCAAGGAAGGCCTTTTCCATTTGTCTGCTTGCTTGTTTTCTTTCTCGATCTTACTCCTTCCTTTCGGTCGCTCTGCCTCCTTCCCTGCTGATTAATTTGTATTCTCTCAAGAAGCTCGGCCTGCGCTGTTCTTATTTAGTAATCGTTCTCTCAAGGTCACTTTAGTTTGAATATGTGTTGACCAAGCCTCATTTTCCCTGAAGAACACTTTTCAGCGTCCTCTCTGGCAAAGCCGGAGATTGACAGAGCTCACTTCCCTTCCTGGGCCTTCTCTCCCAGCTCTTTTATCTCCTAAAATCCCTGCTCTTTTCTAAATGGTAATGAAAGGGGAGGGGGACTGGACAGGACAGCTTGGGAGGACAAAGGAGCTGTCCAGGGACATCTCGATGCAGCTGAATGTCTCCTTTCATGGGCTCTAACACGACTTTAGGAGAATGCCACCCTTTCATAATTATGATGATTTTTTAAAATTTACTACTATAGGAAGCAGGTTTATGGTAAACAACTCCACAAAAAGAATCCAAAATGGTGGAGTTCAATATGAAGCAATTTTTTACAAAAATATCCTTTCTATCCATCTGATTTCCTGTGTGTTGAGAATGATAGACGAGTATTATTGAGGCTAAAAGTGGGCAGTTACATAAAGCAGTTAATGCCTAAAAAAAAATAAAATAAAAAAAAATAACAAGGTTAAAGATCAATTACATTTCCCAATAGAAGAAAAAAGAGCTGTAATTTTCCTTTGTCACAAATCTCCTCCCTTCAACCTTTGCAACATAAAACACTGCCAGTGAAGAACACCTCCACGCAAACGGAAATACTTGCTGAGTGTGTGTGCAGACAGACAGAGCTGTTCATAGGAGTCAAAACAGCCTTGAACCCTGAGGTGTGGGTAGTGGCTGGGTAGTGGCATGGGAAGGAATGAAATCTGCTTGACAAACATAGGCACATGCTATCTTTCTGTAATGCCTTCTTTTCTCTAAGAGAAAACTTTAAAAGTGTTCTAGACACCACGGTGAGAAGTTATGAAGCATCAAAGATCCTTGAGGGTATGTATTTAAGGGCATATGATTCAAAGCAAGGTTCTTCATGACTTTTAACTTCATCTAATGCAGAGCAGAAGTACTCCACAGGAGTCAGAGTTCATCAGTGTGAGTATTAATACTTTACCAGTTCAAAGTGGACTGGACCCAGCCTGAGAAGAAAAATCTACTCCCACATGCTTATTGTGGCTGAGAAAAGACTTACAATGGATTTCAAGCCTGTGAGACCTTTTGTGAGTCATATGATCCCTAGTGGTTCCATGACACAGCGGCTAGTCAAAAGGTCACGAGTTTGAAGTTACCAGCTTCTCTGCAGGATAAAGATGCCACAGTCTGCTTCCATAAAAACCCACAGCTTTGGAAACCTGATGTGACAGTTCTACTCTGTCTTAGGGGGCCCCTTGGAGTTGGAATTTGGTCTGCAGCAGTGGGTTTGGTTGGTTGCTTGGTTGTTTTTATGGCCTGGTGGACATTATGCTTCACACAGGACCAAATAAGCTGCAAGCAACAAAGTCAAACAGCTTGTGACTCCACCACTAACAACCAGTACTTCGGAATTTGACATATGCTGGTGGGAGTTTATTGAGATCAAGACTGTGAATGTCATGCAGCAATGTCATGGAGTCTGATGAAATAAAAGCAAATGAGGGCTGTTTTAGATTAGGAAACATCCATTGCCAGAGAGTAAAAATAACCACACCAACAGCCAAAGAAAAAGACTCAGTTCTTGTGCCACTGGAGTGGAAAAGAAAGATTACAAATGTCATAGCCACTGAAACGACTCTCAGGGAAGTTTAAAGCAAGATATCTAGAAGTGAAAATGTGGAAGCGAGAAGCGTGTAATGCAAGAGAGATGACATGATTGGTCAGAGACACATACGTGTGGTTTAGTACAGAGCGGTTTAAATGTGTTCTCAGGACAAGTTCTTCTTGTAACCTGTTGGTAAAATTGATTCCATAATTCTATCTGTTTTCTAGTGGTCCGTTGTAAAAATGTGTTGATAATGATGCATTTCATGGCTTTTGGGGCACAAGCAATCGAATCTGCATCTATTTGACTATATTGGAAAAGATATTTGGGGAATAGTTTAGTATATGCTTGTAGTAGACCTCAGGAGGGGAAAAAAAGAATGTTGTCTTCAGGGTAGATGGTTAGGGCAACGCCAATGTTAGATGAACTGCTATCACAGATAGCACATCGACCACAAACACTGGCTCAGGTCACGATTTTATATTGCTCGACATCCACGTACACATTAGTTTAACTAAGGAGTTGGTGTTATGTGCCACTGAATAGCAACTGACTCATAGCCGACCCTCCAGAGGGTGTTCAGAGGCCATAAATGCATGACAACAGATTGCCCATGAATAAGGAGATATGTCTCTCAAATCTGTTGGGTTTATTTGCTAGAGCTCACTGAATTAATGAGGGAAAATAAAGTAATGGATTTTCTTTTTCAGAGAATAGCAATGTCTATCAATGATTAATAATATCACAAATATAAGCAGAATTTATACTTGGATTTGGGTCTAGGGTTACCCTTTCTACATAATTGTTTTATATGGGAAGGACCATAATAAATATTTATTCTGCTTTGTGGTAGACAATAAATATTGGAACATCCTTATTCAATATTTTCATTCTGTTTCTTCCTTCAGTGGATGTTTGAAGTACTTGTTTGTGTTTTCATTTTGAATTCAGAGTTTCAGAATTATCATCATATCTATTATTTTTGTTTTCTTGTGTCTATAAATGGAGTGGACATGGACCACCATTTGTCTAGGCCACCCTAATACCTGAAAACCTGCTAATTAATGTCATAAACAAGATGCATATTAATGGGTGAATGAAAAAAGATCATCATTCTTTGTGTACTTTTTCTCATGTCACAATAAAATGATAAGAAGTATGAGTTTTAGGATTTGTACAAAGCATTGTAAGAAAACAAGAGAAAGCCCGTTGTCTGATCAATTCTGATTCATAGTGACCTGATAGGACAGAGGAGAATTGCTCCATACAATTTCCAAGGCTATAAATCCTGACAGGAGCAAGATTCTCCCACTGAGCAGCTGTTGGATTCAAACTACCGACCTTACAGTTAACAGTGTAGTGCCGTAGACATATACCTCATTAACAAAGTGCTGTAAAATCCTCACACTACGAAGCTGGTCTTGGAGTTGCTGAACTCAGATTAGCTCTACATCAAGAGCTACCATATTATGAATAACTAATATTTTGCTAATTATGTGTAAGCCTAAAACGTCCTTTTATTTTTTTCTATCTGCTTTCCTCAAGCATCTTTATTATTCAAAACATCACATAAAATGTTTGAATATCTTCATTTTCCACCTCACACAGATTGTTAAAACAATCCACAATAAGATTAAAAATGAATATAAACTTTTTCTTGAAAAGGAGTCTTCAGATACATTTCGTTGACTTTGAGGAGCAAAAGAGGTGGTCAGTGCTGTTCCTATTTATAATGTTCAGCCAATTAGCCCTGCGTTATCAACTGATGGTGTCACAGGGAGATAGCACACACATCCATTAATTCAGCAGATCCTTATTGAACGAGGCCCTACTATGCATCTAGCATTGCACTAATTATTGAGCCCCTGTCAGTGGTCTGGCCCTTCAAGACTGTGTCTGGCTTCCAGCCACGCTTGCCTAATTCCTGCCAGCGCTAGCCAGTCACCAGACTCAAGGACAGAGGATGATATTCAACGGGTCAGTGTTGAGATGGAAATGCAGAGAGCTATGCATCCTGTAACTATAAATTGTAGTTGTTATGTGCCATAGACTCATAACTCACCCTGTAGCTGCTTTTCAGAGGCAGTAAATCACACAGGAGGAGACTGCCCATCTTTCTCCTGGACAGCAGGTGATGGATTTGAACTGCCTGCCTTTGGATTGGCAGCACAACTCCCTACTGCTAAGCCACTAGAGTTTATTAACTCTAAGTTAATGTCATGGAATTCTTATCACAGAACAGGGCCACAGATCAGAAGTCCTTCCAGTCTGCTTTTAATGATGCTTTAGCATATGCTTAGCATAGTACCTGTAGAAAAGAGCTCACCTAACCTCGAGGTTTTTCTGAAATTAAAAGAGAAGCAGGGATAAGATGCAAATGAGCTTGCTAATTTAGGCAACTGTTTGGGAAGACCTCTGGGTGAGGTAAGGTTAGAAAGGGTCAGCGGAAGCACCTCCAGGCAGAGAGACACCTCTGGGGTCTTGCAGTATCATTAATTCATCTCTTTATGTTTTTGCTCAGGTTTTGAAATCAAGAGATCTCCTGTTTTTCCAATCGATATTTTATACCATAATAACTATCTTTTTGCCTACTGCTGCATCCATTAGATTGTGTTACAAATGCACTTTTTCTGCAACATAAATGGTGTTCAGGAGGGGCAGCACGGAGACATGGCCACAGACTCACAAAAATTTCCATAACTGTGCTGAAAAGAAAAAAAAAATATAATTAGTGGTCAGGAGAAGAATCCTTAGGGATGGTTGGGGTTGGAGGTAGGATGGCAGGACGCACTTAAACACATATTTACCATCTCTAATTGGCCTTAGGAAGTCAAGATTATCAGACAAAGGTTATGACACTGCCAAGTTCCAAGAAGCACATTTCTTCAAGCAGAGCATCATGTGGAAACCAAACCAAACACCTTCCAAACAAAAAGACAACTAAAAAATGCCGATAGCCTCTCTCCTTTCGTCCTCTCTGGATGAGAGAAACCAGAAGATCATCTTAGCCTGCTCATTTTATTTCGCTCCTGTATTTTCCACTCTTACCTGTGACAACCTCACAGATTTGTGAAAAGTACCCCCATGTGAAAAGTGCCCGAGTGACTATGACTCAGCATATTACCACTGTTACATGTCATCAAAGCAATTCCCATGCATGGAGATCCTGCCGGGCAGGCTAGAACTATCTCCCAGGGCT